GACGATCAAATCGCTGATCGATAATGGCACTCGTTGCTCCGACAAAAGAAAGTCGGATCAGTTCTTCGAAATGTCAGCGAGGACAAAAAGACTCGTGCTGGTTAGCATTATCCGGTTTTCAGAGTCCTATCCCCGAACTCTAACTTTTCAACACTAGAGCTTCAATCATCTTGTATCGAGGTGACAATGCGTGACGCATGTGTTCATGAAAACTCACCTAGGCATCTGCTTAAAGGCGGATGCAGTGAACTGGGAAGAAAAGCCCAATATTTTGGATAGGTACTAAACATTCTGGTCTATCGGCAAGGAAGACATATGATCTAACATCGGAACGATTTGTATTTTATTCTGACCTCTCGGGCTCCTGCAGGAGCCCATCGTCAGAGATGGAAAAACAACAAAAAAGATGGACTCCTGCAGGAGCCCGAAAGCTCAGAATAAAATACAAATCGTTCCGGTGTTCGATCATATGTTTTCTTAATCGATACAAATACCTGGAACGCGAGCTTTCTTTTTCATTCTGGTCTATTTTTGGGCATAGTCGCTTTGAAAATGGAGAGTCGAACAAATACTCCGAAAATCTAATGACAAGAAAAATATGCTCTGAAGTGCAGTTGCTATAGCTCAAAGTACCACTGTGAAACTGTGCCATTAATAAACAAAGCCTATTAAACCCTCTGACATTTCTAATACAAGTGAACATGCGAGTCCCAGGAAGTAATTGAGAAGTAGAAGACGACTCGATCTCTGGGACAATATGTTTATTCGCCTTACGTTTCGAAATCCGTACCAGATTCATCTTCAGAAACATACTCACAGAACATTAGCAGAAACAGTTTGTGTGTGCACAGAGTTCCGCCGTAAAATTTAAACGTTGAAATTTTACGGCGGAACTCTGTGCACACAAACTGTTTCTGCTACTGTTCTGTGAGTATGTTTCTGAAGATGAATCCGCGACGGATTACGAAACGTCAGGCCAATAAACATATTGTTCCAGCGATTGAGTCGTCTTCTACCCTCTGAAATCTATGCTAACAGTCAGTGGTAAGAGGTTTTACGTCCAAGGATCTGAACTTTTTGCTTGACAATAGATTCATTATGACCATTTTCCAATTGCTATTTTAGGAAAATTTAACTGAATTTCTAAATAAACCGATATCTAAGAACCCAACGATGCTCCGCGAAACAGTTTTTGGTTCTTGCTGACGTTTCGAAAAGCTGGTCCAAGTCTCCCTTGTCAAAGCGCTCCGAAACGTCAGCAAGAAACAAAAAACTGTTCGGGTGAGCAACATAAGGCTCTCAGATTTCCATCTGAAAACTCTCAATTGTAAGCACTTAAACACATATCACTTAAACCTCAACTAATTCGAAGGAGAGTTCAATTCTGATTAGTCAAAATGGGAAATCAAGTTCCAAATGATGCTATACTCACGTGTTGTCCAATGCGCTAAGGTCCCATACTAGAGTTCACGAGTAAAAGGCATCCCAACTCCCAGCAAGTAATGGCCAAACGCAGTCATGACGAAAGAGTGTGGGAATGACTGTGCGTCAACCGTTTACGCGATTTATTGATCGTGTCAGCCGGCAGC